ATTGAGAAGACAGACAAAATCTATTATGTTTTATTCAGAAACAAAGTACAGGGTGATGGGGCATCTCTAAGGGGAAGCTCCTCCAAGGACACTGGTTGATAAGGTTGATTAAATTAAAAACCACACAGCCATATTTTGTTCTTAAATTCTGGAAAATAAGGACTAGGTAAACATATATTGTTTGATCAATCTTGCATGCCTTATCTTGTAATCTGAGCAACTCCTTTGAAGGTAACAATATGCAATATAATAACCATTGTTAATTTCCCATCACCTTGTTTTGAAATTCTGTATCGTTTTTTGGTTTTTTCGCTCTTTAAAATTAAAAAAAAAAAAAAGCAAAGTAAACCAAAAGAAAAACAAAATCTCTTCTTTGACAAATACAACAAAGAATTTTACCGATGGTAAACAACTCCTGATACCGTAGAGAATAGGGGCAGTGTTGCGGCGCCCCCTGGCGTTGGTGCTGTGGATAACGCCTTCCCAAAGAAAGGCTCAGATCCAGGGAGGGAGCTCATAATAGTTCAAACGCAATCTCACTGTTGTAAAATTTATCTAGAAACTGAATTAAAATGTCAGTGAAAGAGATATACTCAAGGCACACATAACACTCATTTTTGACATTCCTGTGTGCCTTCTGCACTAACTGGTATTTTCTGCTGTAAACTGAAAACAACTTGATCGTGGTTATGCAGTGTGGATGTGCCAGCTGTGAGGAGCCGGCCGCACGGTGAGGGCATAGTGGCACAACCATCCTAGAAAATAGTTTGGCGGTTTCCTTGAAGCATAAGCATGCACTTATACATGGCCCACATGAACATTCCCAGGCATTTAATCACCTTTTTTTTAAGTACTGGAAATCAAACTCAGGACCTTGCACTTGCCAGGCATGTGCTGTGCTACAGAGCTACATCCCCGGCCCTCCCAGGCATTTAAAGAGAAGTAGAAGCTGACATCTACACAAAAATCTGGACATAGCCGGGCGTGGTGACTCACGCTTATAATCCCAGCACTTGGGAGGCTGAGGTAGGAGGATTGCTGAGAGTTCAAGGATAGCCTGGGCTACATAGTGAGTTGAAGGCCAGCCTGAACTATATACTGAAACTCTGTCTCAAAAAAAAAAAAAACAAAAACCTGGACATAATTATGTTCATAGCCTCTTATTTTTAATAGCCAAGTTGTTTCACAATAAATGACAATAAGAATGCTAAGTATCAAAATGACCAGATACACCGGACATGGTGGTACATGCCTGTAATCCCAGCACTCGGGAGGCCGAGGCAGGAGGATTGTTGCAAGTTCAAGGCCAGCCTGGGCTACAAAGTGAGTTCAAGGCCAGCCTGAACTGCATAGCGAGACCCTGTCTCAAAAAGACAAAAAAAAAAAAATCAAAATGACCAGATACCACTAAAACCAAATTTAAAGATCATTCCCATAGCTATAAGTGCTCTAATAATAAAGGTTAATAAGCCTGGGTTCCTAAAAAACAACAGTCAGGCAGGGATCCTGCATAAGGTGGTGTGAGGAAGAACCACCAAAGAGGAGAAGAAGAGGGCTGGCCCCAGGGTACAGATCCTGTCACACTGCTTCTTCTGTGGACTTGGCCTCAAAGAGGCCAAATAAACTCATTTATCAATACAAGGAAGGAAGAGAGGAGAGTCCACCTGATCACAGGCTCTCCTGCTGGAGCCCATTTCCAGCAATCGGGCTGTGGGGTGAGGACTAGGGCAAGGGCCCGGCAAGGCGCAGCAGTCACCACGGGAGCTGACAAGTGGCCCCAGGGAAGCTGGCTGGAAGGCTCTGCACAGGCTTCAGATCTGTACCAAGCAATTGTTTTAACTAGCCAAAATGTGTTTCCAAAAAGAAAATAAACAAAAAGCGAAGAACAAAGGATTTTGAATTTCAAAAGCTACAGGTAACTAAATATGAGAATTAAATATGAGGACATTAAGGCCGTCGCCCCTTTTCGGAGTTTGTATGATTAACTCATTACCCTTTAAGCCTATCAGCTGAAGAGCATAACACTCAGGGACAGATGCTTTCCTTTCAAGTTATTTGAAAGGTACGCGTTCACTCAGACATGGAGTTGCTTTCTTCCCGCTCAGCATGGGGAACTGAGCCTGGGGCCTTGCGCAAGAGGGGAGAGCTGGCCCCCAGCCCCGGAAACACGTTACACAAGTGCCTCAGAGCGATCATTCCTGCAATTTTAGTATATGTGCTGCTGAAGTGAGCACATCCCTACACCTTAAAACAGTCTTCTTTTCCATTTTTACAGACTGCTTCTCGTTCCGCTAGCCAGTTCCATGTCAGCACCTGTGGCCCATTCACATGTAGTGGGATTTGCTTTATTCCTTAAAATCCACTGTTTCTAATTTCATAGTCCTTTTTCCTCTGGCCCCATACTGGAGGGCCGAGACCTGAAGGCTTCCTTGTTCGTTTTTGCCTCCTCTTGGTTTTCTTGTCCCTTCCCCCACACTGGCAATTGAACCTAGGGCTTTCATACTACATTACTAACATCACCAGCCCTGTTTCTTTCAGTTTTTATTTTGAGACAAGGTCTCACCAAGTCACTAAATTGCCCAGACTAGGCTTGAACTTTTGATCCTCCTGCCTCATCCTCCCAGAATCCTGGGATTACAGGTGTGTCTCATCATGCTGCAACATACAAATAAAGAAACTCGGCTGGGGAGATAGCTCAGCGGCACAAGCACCTGCCTGGCAAGCGCAAGGTTCCGAGTTCGATTCCCAGTACCAAAAATAAATAAATAAAACAAAGAAACTGCACCAGGAATTTGGAGGTAGACCTAAATGCGTGTCTTTACAAATGGCATCTTTAAAACAACTTTGCAAGATAATTATTCTGAGTTCCATAGTAACCTAGCTGGGAAGATGGAGTCTTCATGCAACCCAGCAGGATGTTAAAATATACCACGGGTGCACCTCTGAGGTTGTAGGAGCCTAGGAAGCTGCACTCACCATATATCCCAGAACCTGTTGGTTTAGGAAAGGTGCTGAGAACGCAGCCAGGTGCCCACGTCTTGATGGATTACAGCATCACAGGGCTCATTTCTGCCAAATCCCTGGCCTAAGGCTGCCATGAGCCCTGGGACTCTGTGCTCTTAACTTTTTTGAAATTCACACTTGATCTCTACACTGGAGGCAACGAAGTGTTTCAGCAAAGGGGCAGACTATGACTATTTTGCCTGTGCAGGTCACGCACTCAATTCTGCATCAAAGCATGAAAGCAACCACAGAAAACAGTGAACAGATGCACGTGGTTGTATCCCAATGAAACAGTACCTACAAGAGTGGAGGCCAGATACAGCAACCCCAGCTATCCCCGCTTGTATCTCCAATCTAAACCTCTCCACCCTTTGTGTGTGTGACACGGACAATTCAAATCTGAAACTCAGAAGTCTTGATGTTCCACCTGTCCCAGATGTGGTCAGTAGCATTCAGCTTCTATTCCACTTATTTTTGTGTAGTTTAGAACTCAAAAGCCACACATACATTTCGCAGATTCCCTTGCAGCTGAATACTGGGGAGGTTTTAGGGTTAAGTGCACCTGTGTGCAGTGGAAAGGCAGAGGCTGTGGCCACCAAGGTTCCTTCCCTGCATGACTGCTGGCTCTGAGGCACGGGACCAAGCACAGGTGTCAGGTGTTAGGGCCTGGAAAGGCCGTGTTGCTAGCACAGGTGTGCTGTTGGCTGGATCCTTGGGCATGGGGTGCCAACCATATCTGTGGAGATTGTGCTGGGCAGGAAAGAAGCGTGGCTGCCATCTGGCTACTGAAGACAGTTTTGCCTCATGTTGCCAGTTGCCAGCGCCCTCCAGTTTTCAAGAAGACAAATTTAGATTCTATGAAATGTTGGATGAAAATTTTAGAATTTTATGAGGTAGTAAAAACATTTGTGTAGTCAGATTTTGGCTGAGTGGCCTATTTGCAATCTTTGCCACTGTGTTGTTAAAACTAAACAGACAACAATAAATGCAAATAAGATGATTTTGAGTGATTACTTATTCTAGAGTAGAAAGCATGAGAGAATGGCAGAGTTTATGAGTGATGTAAATATAATAGTGAACCCTTATATAAATATCTTAAAATTTAAACATCCCACAAAGATGTCATCAGTCTTGGACGTCATGATGGTGTGGAGTCACATCTGAGGCACATTGCTTTCTCTTACTTTTGAAACAATACGGCATAAATTAAAACCACAAGGCAGCAATCAGCAGAACAATGAGTACATTTAGAGATGTGACTTAGGAGGAAAAATGAGTCGATTTCCCATCTGCTCATCTGGATTAGCACTGTCAGCAGCCTGGAAGTAAGTTTGCTGGCACAACCGTTTGGGGCTCTTACTTTGAAAATCCTTGTTAATGTCACTAATGTAGCTGGGCTTGGTGGCACACGCTGGTAATCCCAGCAGGGACACTTGTGGCAGGAGGATCACCACGAGCTGAAGGCCAATCTGAACTATAGAACACAATGAGACCCTGTCTCAAAAAAAAAATTAAATACTAAATATTATTTCAAATTTCACACATTTGAAATCTATCATCAACTGAGTTTATAGTTACAGGTGTGTATCACCATGTTCATCCGGAGTTTCTTTTGATCCAGAAGTTTTTAAAAGGACTTGTGAAGTATTTTTCTTCTTTTCTTTTACATTTCATTGTTCGGTTACAAGTGTATTGGAGTATGATTAAATCCTGTGTCCTATCGAATCCCTTTATTCAATTTGCATGATTATCTTCTGGTCTGATTTTTTTTTTAACAAATATTCCGTGAGCTTAAATAAATAAAGTTCTCTCCACACATAAATTGAGCTTGCTGTTGAATCATCCTTTATTTCACACTGGTTTTCTGTCTGCAGATTTGTCTAACTCTGGAATGGGCGCACCAAACCTGGCAGAAGGGTGAGGCCTCTTCTGGTCTGTGGCTGAGCCTGGATCCCTCCCGGCAGCAGAGGCGGGGTGAGCCAGTGTGCGACAGTCCCGTTGCCTGGAAGCAGCTGGGGACACAATGGGGCTTGGGCGGGAGTAGGGTGAGGTGTCCAGCTACCCTATTTTGTCCTCCGAGCCAGCAGGTCAGTGTACCCCGGGTGCCTAAGTAGGCCGTGCCCCACACCTTTTCCCAGGGCCCCAAAACCTCCTGCCCCCACCCCGAACCCGCGGAATTCCCTTCCACAAGTCTGGGTCTACGCTCGGTGCGGTGCCGGTGCCGTTCTGGGATCCGAGACCAGGAGGTCCGCGGAGCTCGGCCCCTGGCCCAGTCCCTCTGCGCCAGGAGCCCCATTGTCCCCGGTTTGTTTTCCAAGCGCCCGGGATACGCGGCCTCGCGGATCCGGTTGCAGAGCCACCGCGTCCCGGCCTTAGGTGCAGCCCCCACGCTATGGGCTCCGAGGTCTGGGTCGGGCCTTGGCGGCCTCACCGGCCCCGCGGCCCCATCGCGGCGCTGTACAGCGGCCCGGGGCCCAAATACAAGCTGCCGCCCAACACCGGTAGGGGCAGTGCGGGGGTAGGGGCAGTGCGGGGCAGTGCGGGGGAGTGGGGTTCAGCCGGAGACCACCTAGGGAGGGGACAGCGGCGCGGTGGGGTGCCGGGGCAGCCCCGGCTCACACTGGGCGCCCCCGCCAGGCTACCTCCTGCACGACCCCTCCCGGCAGCGCGCTCCCGCCTACACCTTCGGCATGCGCCTCCCGGAGCGGCAGACGACCTGCGGGCCCGGGCCAGGCTACCTGGTGCCGCCCCGCATGACCGCGCGCGGCTCCGAAGGCTGCCCTGCCTACTCCATCCAGGGCCGCCTGCGAGCCTCGCCGCCCTTCCGCACTCCTGGACCGGGTCAGGATCCCTGGGGCCTTGGCCTCCCCGGGGAGGGCACCCGAAGACTCCCCTGAGCCCCGGGTCCCCCTCGGCATCCCAGCACCCCACATCCGGCCTTGACAGTCCAGAATCCCCAACCCCACGGGGCTTTGCCAGGGTTGGCCTGACTCCCGTCCCAGTCCCCGAATCCATGCCCGGTCCACACCCACGGTGTGTCCCGCAGGCAGGTACTTCCCGGAACGCTCGGGGAACGCCACCTACCCCAGCGCGCCTCGCCACAGCATCGCATCCCGGAACTGGGGCGTCCAAGGCTGGCACCAGACCCCAGGTGAGAATGGAAAGCCCCATCTCCGCATCCCGCTCCCCGGCCACACTGGGCCAAGCGAGACGACCCGCCCGCTCCTCTCAGGTCCCGGGGCCTACACAGTGCCCTCGCTCCTGGGCCCGAGCGTCGTCGGCAAGGTCTCGGCGCCCACCTACTCCATCTACGGCCGCAGCTCGGTGGGCAGCTGCTTCGAGGACCTCAGCAAGGTTTGGGGCCACGAGCACGGGGCGGGCCCGCGGCCAGGGACCGGCCGAAGAAGGGCCCAGGACACACGACCTCTGCCCTCCCGCAGAGCCCGGGCCCCTGCGCCTACCACGTGGTGAACCCCGGGGTCTACAAGACCCGCGCGCCCCAGTTCACGATGCAGGCGCGGACTTTTCTCCCCCAGGACAACACGCTCAAGCCGGGGCCTGCGGCCTACAACGTGAACAAGGTGGTCTGGAGCCCAGGGGAGAGGGTCCCGGGCGGGATGCGTGGCCTGGGGCCCGCGGGCTCCGGGAGGTCAGCGGTGTCTCCTGGTTCTGCAGCACCAGAAACCCCGTGGCTGGAGCTTCGGAATCCGGCACTCGGACTACCTGGCCCGGATGGTGACCGACCCGAACAAGTGACCCGAGGGGCGGGCCGGGCGCTGCCTGCAGCCCTTCACTTAAAGTTTCCGGCTGACCCAGCAGCGTGTCCGCCTCTCTTTCCTCTCTGCGCCGTGGTCGAGGCGGAGCCGCGTGCAGCAAGCAGCTGGGGGGCGGGGGTGACAGCGCTGTAGCACGGAAGTCCTGCGCTCGCGGGCAGCTCGGGATTGGTCGAGGCCTGGCGAGCCCCGCCCCCGGCCGCTAAGACCTTCCAGACCCCGCCCGCAGGCAGCCCCTGGTCCCTGGTGGCTGGCGGCGCGGGGCGAACCGGGAAGGAATCGGAGCCGGACGGGCGAGGGCTGCCATAGTAAATAGGTACGGGCAGGATAGAGTTGTGAAGCTGAGACGTGGAAGCTACACGGGGCAGAGGGGTGGACATCAGACACCGCAGCAGGGTCGGGACAAGTGCGTGTGACCGGAAAGACAAGGCCACAAGGCCAGGTTCCAGGGTGTCTCCCTCCCCGCAGGCCCGGAGCAATGGAGGCCCTGGGAACACGGGCCGCACCTCCCCCTGCACCAGGTGGCCTCTCGGGGGCAGGGGGGTGGGGACCTCCAGACCCCGCTCCAGAGCCCAAGCAGCTCCCTGAGCTGATTCGCAGGAAGCGAGACGGAGAGCGCCTGAGTGAGGAGGATATCAGGGACTTCGTGCGTGCGGTGGTGGACGGCAGCGCACAGGACACACAGATCGGTGTGTGGGAAGGGCTGGGCACCCTGAACTCCGACCCGGACCCTGGCGCCGCCAACTGCCCTACAGAACACCCACCCCCAGGGATGCCACCATGCGCCCCCACACCAACAGCAGCTCCTGGATACCCATGCTATGGGGACACCCCTCTCATGTGCCCATACCTAGGGGCTATGCTGATGGCCATCCGGCTGCGAGGCATGGATCTGGAGGAGACCTCTGCACTGACTCAGGCCCTGGCCAAGTCTGGGCAGCAGCTGGAGTGGCCAGAAGCCTGGCACCAGCAGCTGGTGGACAAACATTCCACAGGGGGCGTGGGTGACAAGGTCAGCCTGGTCCTGGCACCCGCCCTGGCTGCATGTGGCTGCAAGGTTAGAGATCACTTTCTCTCCAGAACCTTTGACCCCAAGAGTCAGCAATCAGGCCAGCCACAGGCAGCTCACAACCTCAAGTCTGACCCAGACAGAGCCCCCAAACAATGGATCCCGCTTGTCCCACCCAACCCCAGGAAGGAACTTGGGCCCTCCTCAAGTCCACACTAGGCCCCCTGGAATAAGACCAAGGTAGAAAGACAGAAATCCCCTCACCCCTCTATACCCAAGAGGACACCAAGGGAAGAGCTATTACCCCAGACTTCTATCTCCAGGGATGAGATCTCTCTCTCTCCCTTTCTCTCATACATACATACACACACACACACACACACCACCACCACCACCACCACCACCACCACCAGCCAAGACAATTTATTTTCCATTCCCTCTTTACTAGCTGGAAACCCACTTAGTATTCATCCTACCAGGTGCCAATGATCAGCGGAAGAGGTCTGGGGCACACAGGTGGCACCCTGGATAAGCTAGAGTCCATTCCTGGATTTAGTGTCATCCAAAGCCCAGAACAGGTATGGGCGGGCCACGCACTGGTCCTTGAAGTGGGCTGACGGGAGACATGGGCCATAACCACTGATAAGCACTTTATGAGAATTGAAAGGTTGACAGCCATTGAACTTGAGTCAGAGTCATCAGCAGAACTTTGACCAAGATCATTCCTGGAGACTTGGGCTGCTAATCATTAAAGAGCCACACTGCCATGCCAGAAATCAGTCATTGCTGAGAACTTAACATAATCATCTCTAGGTCACTGATGGTCATTAGTCAAGGTTCTGGGCCTTTCCTGAGTCACTGATGAGGGCCCGTGATGGGGTCCATCATCAGCGTTCATCTTTGGGTTGGGGTCTGACCAGATGCAAATGCTGCTGGAGGTAGTGGGCTGCTGTATCGTGGGTCAGAGTGAGGAGCTGGTCCCTGCGGACGGACTCCTGTATGCAGCTCGAGATGTGACAGCCACTGTGGATAGCCTGCCACTCATCACAGGTGACCTGACTGACTCCAAGGACTTCCTTCTGCATGTTACACCCCCCTGACCTCCAATCTCACTGCCAGGGCCCTCATTATGGGTGACTAGACTGGGGGACCTCCCCCAATCACAGGTGATCTGGCCCCAATGCCAACACCTCCTTGTCACAAGATGCCTGACCACCAATTCCTAGAAGTGGCCTGCCCAACACAATGCACTAGGCACAGCTACCCCCATGGAGGCCAGCCCCTCTTGACCCCAAAGTAAGTACCCCCTGCCTGACCTCTCTGCCTCCCCCACAGCCTCTATCCTCAGTAAGAAGGCCGTGGAGGGACTATCTGCTCTGGTGGTGGACGTTAAGTACGGCGGGGCCGCAGTTTTCCCTGACCAGGAGAAGGCCCGGGAGCTGGCACGGACGCTGGTGAGCCCTGCCTCTCCCTGCTGGGCCTGACCTCCCTGCACACCTTCCTGCCTCTGCCGTCATCCATGGCCCCCTGCCCACCACTCTTGCCTGTCAAGGCTAACCTGGCTTGACCCTTGAGATCCCTCCGGCTCCAAGCCTGGGAAAAGGTCCTCCGGATCTCTTCACCTCCCCACTCCACCTGACGCAGAGCTGTGCTCTCATCCCCAGCCAAGCCTTCCCCAACCTCATCCTGGGAGGACTGGCACCTAGGGAATAGCAGGACTGAAGTATGGCGATGGTGGGCTACAGAAAACCCACGAGACATCCACACTGGGCCTCCCTCCACAGGTTGGCGTGGGGGCGGGGCTGGGGATGAAGGTGGCTGCCGCGCTGACCGCCATGGACAATCCCCTGGGCCGCTGCGTGGGCCACTCCCTGGAGGTGGAGGAAGCACTGCTTTGCCTGGATGGCGCGGGGCCGTGGGACCTGCGGGACCTGGTCGTTCGGCTCGGTGAGCGGGAGGTGGGGGTGGGGGGATGGAGAGGGCGGGACCCAGGCTACAGGGCGGTGCGCGGGACCTCCCCGCTAACCCGCCGCGCGCGCCGACAGGTGGCGCCCTGCTCTGGCTCAGCGGACAGGCGGAGACCCAGGCGCAGGGCGCAGCGTGGGTGGCCCAGGCACTGGACAGCGGCTCAGCAAGGGACCGCTTCGAGCGAATGCTCAAGGGGCAGGGCGTGGACCCAGGTCTGGCCAGAGCGCTGTGCTCCGGAACCTCAGCCCAGCGTCGCCAGCTGCTGCCCCGCGCAAGCAAGCAAGAGGAGCTGCAAGCGCTGGAGGACGGTGAGCGCAGGGCCGCAGCCCCGCCCCCAGCCGGCCCGCCCTCCCTTCCTCCCTCCCTCTCCGGGCCCTGCCCGCCGTTGGTGCCGCCCCACTTCCCGCCTGCTCCCCGCAGGCACCGTGGAGCGTATCCAGGCGCTGCCGCTCGCCCGCGTGCTGCACGAGCTCGGCGCTGGACGCAGCCGCGCGGGGCAGACGATCCGGCCGGGGGTAGGCGCCGAGCTGCTGGTCGACGTGGGCCAGAGGCTGCGCCGCGGTGAGCCTTGCCTGGGACCTCGCACCGTCCCGACCGCCCCGCCCGGCGCGGCGCCCTAACCGCGTGCCCTGACGCCCCCCAACAGGGACGCCCTGGCTCCGCGTGCACCTGGACGGCCCGGCGCTCAGCGCTCCGCAACGCCACGCCCTGCAGGGGACCCTCCTGCTGTCTGACCGCGCGCCCTTCACACCCCCTTCGCCTTTCACCGAGCTGGTCCTGCCGCCGCCCTTGGAACAGCCCTGAAGCGGAGCAGCCGGGTAGCTGGGTGTGTTTGAGGGCGAGTCGGGCACGTGACCTCCGCGCGGCCGTTGCGCAGGCGCAGCACCATCGGCGCATGCGCTCTGGACGCGACCGTGGCCGAGAGACCCGGGCTGGCAGTATGGGACCTGGGTTTGAACCCGGCGCAAGGTGCGGACATCTGGCCCGGTGAGGGGTTCTGGTCTCACGTTTGATGTAGCGCGGCTTCCAGCCCCGGGTTCCTGCTAGGTTGGCCCGGACTTCAAGCCCTATGGTCCTTTCAGAAGGGAAACGCCGAGGGGGAAGGGAGGACCGGGAAGCGCCGGTGAGAGGGTTACTCTGGTAGTTGCAAACCAGCCACTCACCTTTCAGAAAATGTTTATCGCAAATATAAACATGTGTTCTGGATTCTGGCAACCCGTCCCTTGCTTTCTGTTGAGATAAGCAGTTCACAGTACCACACACAGGTAGGGTGAGGTGAGACAGCTTGAGAATCCTTGTTAAAAAGATGTAAGTGACGAGTATGGCGTTAGACATACATTTGGTGCCACCTAAGCTAGCTCGCTTTAGAGGTAGAGCTCTGGCTTAGGGGAGCTAGCAGACAGCTGGGGAGCCTGATGTGCAGCAGCAGGCCTCTGTAGACCAGGGGGTCCAGGTGTTTTTCTTCCCTCCTTTCTGGCTCTTGATACCTTTGTTCTCTTCCAGGAACGTCAGGTCCATGTTGCTGCTAGCTCGAGGGCCCAAGGCTTGGCCCAGGTTCTCTCTGCTCAAACCCCTGATCTTCCCTTGGACGCTGGGAAATAAAACCGTGTGTGAGAGAGTCCAACACTTGTCAGTACAGGGTCCTGCAGAGACTGGCAAGCAGGGCCTTCCCCGAGGCCCTAGGCTGCGAACTAGGCTCCTGATCACTGCCCTGTTTGGGGCAGGGCTGGGTGGGGCCTGGCTGGCTGCTAGGGCTGACAAGGAGCGGCAGCGGCAGCGACGTCGGACAGAGGCCCTGCGCCAGGCTGCTGTGGGCCAGGGTGACTTCAGTTTGCTCGACCACCATGGCCAGACCCGCTGCAAGGCCGACTTCCGGGGTCAGTGGGTGCTGATGTACTTCGGCTTTACACACTGCCCCGACATCTGCCCCGACGAGCTGGAGAAGCTGGTGCAGGTGGTACAACAGCTAGAAGCTCAGCCTGGCCTGCACCCTGTACAGCCTGTCTTTGTCACCGTGGATCCTGCACGGGATGATGTAGCAGCAATGGCCCGGTACGTGCGCGACTTCCACCCCAGGCTGCTGGGCCTGACAGGTTCTGCTGAACAGGTGGCCCAGGCCAGCCGCAGCTACCGTGTGTACTACAGTGCCGGCCCCAAGGATGAGGACCAGGACTACATCGTGGACCACTCCATTGCCATCTACTTGCTCAATCCTGATGGCCTCTTCACCGACTACTATGGTCGGGGAAGGTCAGCAGAGCAGATCGCAGACAGTGTGCGGCAGCACATGGCTGCCTTCCAAAGCATCCTGACCTGAACCACTGCAGCCTGGACCCTATCATTAAACAGGAAGTACTTGCGTACTAAATGTGCACTCAGGCACATGTGTTTGTGTGTGTATGAGATCTGTTCCAGCAAGCATTTTTCAAGTTTTTTTTTAAGGGGTAGGTAGCATGATGACTCCACTTTATTTTGCTGGGCCAGCCAGGAGACAATGGAGCAAGCAGCCTCTTGGCACATAGGCTTCTGAGACAGGCTTCTCTCCCACACACCACCCCCAGCTCCTCATTCAGGGCTGGGCCATCGATGGGGCTGTGTAAGTCTGGAAGCGCTTGTGGGCTCGCTGGTGTGTGAGCAGTCTCAGGGACATGGTGTCCACAGCTGCGTCCAGCCCCGGCTGCTGACGGATCTCCACTGTGTAGTCATTGGCCTGCAGGGGGAAGGCATCAGCAGGGTCCAGCGATCACTTCCCCCACCTCTGTGTCCTAGGCCACTCACCAGCTGTAGGGAGGCCAGCATGGAGCGACACACCTCAAAGGCAGGCTGGCCGGCCACTAGTTCCGCAAAGGGACACCACTCGTTGAGCTGGGGGAACCGTGAGACCACCTGGTCCCCATAGGTGTGGATGTCAAAGGGCTCGTGCTGCTCCTGAATAGAGGGTGCATTGGCAGTGGGGAGGGGTGAGGCCTTGGACAGACCCTGGGTAGACAGCTCTGGCTTCCAGGTTATACCCAGTCCTCACCTGCTCCTGCAGCAGAGGCTGGATGGTGTCCTCCCAGTCCCTGATGCGCTGGCTCAGCTCTGTCTCCTGGACAAACTTCTGGGAGGTGGCAATGAAGAGCTCCTAAGGCAGGACCAGCAGCGGCTTCTTGACTCAGACCTGGGGTGCCCTCACTCAGCTCCCTGCCCCCCTCTGACCCAAACTTACCACGTTCCTTCGAACTAGTTCCTCATACTTCAAGGCCTCTGCATCTAGGAAGGGCCAACCATGAGCTGCTGCAGCTGTGGATTCTGTCCCACCCCACCCCCTACAGCTCCCACCTCCCACCTCCCACAGCTCCCGCCCTTCAGCACACCCTGGCCAGCCACCAGCCGGACCTACCCAGGTTAGCGGCTTCCCCTGGTTTTGCTCCCTCAATCTCCACATCTACCTCAGGTTCTACAAAGTCATCTGCTGGGACACAGGAGGTGGCCCGTCAGCTGGCAGGAGGTGCTGAGCCCCACCCAACCCCCAGCAGGTACCTACCAGCTGCCCCCAGGTCCTCCAAGGAATCCTCCAGGTGGTCATCCTCAGGCCACATCCCCTCTTCAGCCCTGGGCAGCCACTGCTCAGCTGTCTGTCCAGACAGAGGTCTGTGAGGGCACTGTCACCTCCCATCAGGGGCCAGACCCTGATGCAGGGGTACTTGCCTCCCGCCTCTGCAGCTTCCGGAGGGTCTCCAGCTGCTCGCTTACGTGCTTCCAGTACAGGACCTCCATGTCTGCTGACAAAACCTCATGAGGAGCTCCTGTCCTGTCCAGGCTCTCGCCAGTCTAGCCAGGGCCTTGGGTAACCCCAGGGCAGAGGGTGTGGGGTAAGGAGGGCAGAGTAAAACTCCTCCCTGAGCACATGCATACACATCCTGGCCTCACCTGCAAAGGTGGGGCCCTTTCGCCGGGTCCTCCTGCTGTCAGCATGGTCAGCATCTGTGAGATAATTCAGTCAGCAGAAGTCAAGCCAAAGCCCTCACCCCTTACCAGCAGGGGCTGCTGTCAGCATCAGGACAAGGGTGCTGCCCTCTCACTCCAGGCGGATGGGGTATGTCCCACTCACAGGCAGCCAGGTACCACTGGTGGAAGTCCTGTAACTTGGCAGCACCTTTCCTCTTGCGCTTCTGTCCTGGAGTCTCCTCCACACAGGCAGGCACAGAGTAGGGCTTACCTGGAGCAGAGAGGCTATCTCAAGAGCAGCCATGGATTAGGGTGCCAGGCTCACCCGATCCCACTACCTTGTGCCCCAGCAAAACTGGTCAAGGGACCTGAGTGGAAGTAGCCATTGCCAGTTACCTTTCTTGAAGGGTTTAGAGTCCAGGGAGTCGAAGGGGTCCAGGCTCTGCCAGGGGTCTGGGGCCTCCTGAGCACAGCACAAGCAGAAGCTAAGCGGAAGTAGGAGCTGCACACCTTCCCTCCCAAAGCCCAGATGCCAGGTCCAATCACATCCCCGGAAGAGGCCAACCACACTCAACCCAGGACTGTAAAGGGTGGGGCTCAAGGGAGGGAGATAGCCCAGAGCTGCACAGAGGGGATTTTAACTTCTTTTTTTTTTTTTTTTTTTTGAGACAGGGTCTCGCTATGCAGTTCAGACTGGCCTTGAGCTCACTTTATAGCCCAGGCTAGTCTCAAACTTGCAATGATCATCCTGCCTCAGCCTCCCAATGCTGGAATTACAGGTGTGTGCCACTATACCCAGCTGATTTTAATTTCTGGGAAGAGGAAGATTTCCTTGAAAAAGTGCCCTTGAAAAGTGCACAAGGCCACAAAGGATCTGAGCTCTGGTATTGAGGCACTAAAAACCAGCAAGTGGCATCCTTGCGAACACACCCCCACAAGACACCTGGGTCCTGATACTCCTCACCTTCAGCCGGGACACAGGCTCTGGGGCCACCTCTCGCTCCCGCAGCATGTACCTCCTGGGTGGGGTGACACTCTGCAAAGAAAGACCACACAGTGTCCCCTTTTCCTGCCCCTTTTCCACCTAAGCACTGGGTACCAACAGCTTGGCCCTGAGGTTCATGTCAAGAACACTATGGGGACGTTCTTTGGGGCAAGAAGTTCAAATAGTCAAAAGACTAAAAACAAAAGCCCTAAGAAAAACTTCTGAACATACAAATAGCTGCTGTAAAACTTTTTTTTCCCATTTAAAAAAATTATATAATAGGAGCCAGGCATGGTGGCGCACGCCTGTAATCCCAGCACTCGGGAAGCTGAGGCAGGAAAATCGTTGCAAGTGTGAGACCAGCCAGGGCTACAAAGTGAATTCAAGGCCGGCCTGAACTGCATAATGAGACCTTGTCTCAAAGAAGACAAAAAAAATTTATAGAATAAATAAAAAGCTGGACACAGTGGCACATGCCTGTAATCCCAGGATTTAGGCTGAAGCAGGATTGCAGATTTGAGTCCGGCCTGGGCAACTTAGCAACAACCTGTCTCAAGATAAAGGGCTGGATCCCAGCACTCGGGAGGCTGAGGCAGGAGAATCGTTGTGAGTTTGAGGCCAGCCTGGGCTACAAAGTGAGCTCAAGGCCAGCCTGAACTGCACAGCAAGACCCTGTCTCAAAAAGACAAAAAAAAAAAAAAAAAGATAAGGAGCTGGGAATGTAGTTCAGTGGTGAGCACTCCTATGTGCTATTTATTCTGTGTGCTGTGGCTTGACCCCAGGGCCTCTCGCATGTTAAGCAAAAGTTCTACCACTGATCTACACCTGCCAGCCTGACCGCAGAGGATCGGCCTTGGAGAGCAGCTGGCATCCCAGGTACCTTCAGCTCTGTAGGGCTCAGACCTTCAACACCAGCACCACTCAGCCCTGAGGAGCAACTGCTCTGCTCAGAGGGCACATGGGAGCTGCTGTCAAAAGGCTGGCTGAAGACCAAGCCCCATGAGCCTGATGTACAAAGACCAGAGAGAAGGGGCAGAAACCAACAGGCCCAGAGCCAAGGCCACTGTACTGTCCTCCCCATGCAAGCCCCAGAGCACGGCAGCCCTGGTAGGGTCCTACCTTCTGCGGGCTCCCAGGCTCCTCAGGCTCCAGAGCAGCACTGGGGGATGCAGCCTCTGGGAGCGCTACTGCCTCCTGTGCATCTGCATCATCCTCGTTCCCACTGCTGAGCACTGGACCTTCTGGAGCGGTGCCTGGGCAGGAAACAAAGAGACCAGTGAGCTCCAGGAGCTGGATGCAGACATTAACGTAGTTGCCTTTGCTGATGCCAGGGGAGTCCAAAAGGCTCCTCCCTCTTCTTGGCTTTAACACTAGCACACAGAGACCCGAGAAGGGCCTGACACCCTGTCAGGCGGTATGACTTGGTTCAGCTTATTTCTTAGCAAACATTCTTCTTTCCATGCTGCCATCTAGATCTGCCTGGAGGACCCCAGGAGGGCAGTCAGATGGTGGTGGCTGAGGCCCAGTGAGCAGCCAGCCCCAAGTCTGTCTGCTTCCACCACAGGCCGCAGAGCAGGGAGCAGCCCCACCCCAGCCTGTCCACCTAGCCCTGCCTCCCTGGCCCCTCAGTGTGCCAGTCCTTGCTTACCTGGCTCATCCTGGCAGACGCCAAGCACAGGGACAGGACTGCTGCATCCAGAGACTTCCATTGGCTGCTCCTCAGCCCTCCTGTCATCTAAGAGATAACAAGTAGGCAGAGTCCCTATCTGGTACCCAGTGGTGAGTCCCTCTAGAGGGCCAGCAGAAGGCAGAGCTCCACAGGCCCCAGGCCCCAAACAGAGACTGGCTGTGATATCAGCTGCCAATCAGGGCACAGAGAAGATGGGAGAGGGGGACAAGCTCCAGCCAGCACATCCACTGTGAAGCAGGCACACACAGACAGCTCCTAAGACCAAAGCCGGCAAGTACAGGATACCTGACAGGTCCACCCCGCCAAAAGATCTTTGACACATTCCTTCCCGCCAAGCCCCACATACCAAAGACCTCACCCTTCTGACTCCCTGGCATGGGGCACAGGCCAACTGGCTCCAACATGAAGGCCCCTCTAGGGTGGGGGATGCAGGTATTCATCCTGAAGTCTTTCCGGCTGGCCAGGACCTCACCCTGACAGCTGTACTGGCAAAACAAGCCTGCTGTAGAGACCCTTCCCAGGCAGGCCACCCTCCTCCATATGACTTGGCTTGGCACATACCTGTACAGGGGGCAACTGTTCTTCTCCACCTCATCGGGTGCCACCAGAGCCATGGGCAGGAGAGGGATGATGAGCAGCTCCTGTGGGCCAGCCAGGGGTTGGGGGTGAGCTGTCCAGCATAATCCTCCACTCGACTACATTAACACCTGACCCCACCTCAACCAACAGGACAGACACTCACGCTGGGCGCCTGGTCACTCCTCAGATCCACATTGGCCCGGGACTCTGGGAAGTCATCCAGTGACAGAAACTGTGGGAGACAAGCGCTCACAGCAGGAGTGCAGGGAGGCACCTGGGACAGGGGCCATGGGTCCACTCACCTCACCCTCTGCCTCATGTGGTTCCCGGGAATTGGAGGCCCCACCAGCCCCATCTTCCTGCACTGAAGAGAGCTGCTTGGCCCGCCTGAGAGAGAGAGCACCCATGTGTGTCCAAGAGGCTGCAAGGTGAAGGCCTCTGCCTCCCACTCTGCTTAGAGCACTCACCTCTTGCCAGAGATGAAGTCAAGAGCCTGGTAGACCAGTGAGTAGAGGTACTCCACCTGGTGACACAGGAGGCAGTGAGGACACATGAAAGGAGGGCCACCCACAGCCCTCCCCAGCCCAGCCAATCTTGCCACTCAAGTCATCCTCTGGTCAAACCAGCATACTCATCGGAATTACTCCATCCACTGAGAATCCGTACTCCTCTCCTGTGCCCCGAACTCCCCATGCAGCAAGCAAAGCCTCAGTGCAAAGCACATTCATGTCACCATGGGGTGCCACACGGACCTGAGCCCTCACGCTGACACCCGTTGCTCTTCTGCCCACAGGCTCCCACCCAGGACACCCATGCCAGCATCTCCTCCTTGGGTCCTAGGGTAAGTTGCCCCATCCCCAGGATTCCAAGGGGTCACGGCCAACCCCATCATAGCTTAAGCCATGGTTGGCCTGCCAACATCCTTCACCTCCTCGGAGGTCCAAACACTAAGCAGAGGGTTGGAAGGATCTTTTTTCCTCTTTTATTTGAGACAAGATCTCACTACATAGTCCAGGCTGCCCTGAAACACGCAGTCTTCCTGCTCATCCTCCCAAGTGCTGAGGGCTGGAGTTCGGAAGCATTCACCAGTGAGGGACAGGGAAGGCAGAGCATGTGCACAGCCATGGTAACGTTACCCTTTCTTCCTGGCCGTGCCATTATTATTATTTTTTTATTTGTATTTTCTCCACTGCCAGGGATAGAACCCAGGACTTCATGTACAGCAAGCAAGCAATACACCACTGAGTTACACCCAAGCCAAGATGTGCCTTTTTTTAAATCTATCTATCTGTCTGTCTATCTATCTTTTTGAGACAGGATCTCTCTATGCAGTTCAGGCTGGCCTTGAGCTCACTTTGTAGCCCAGGCTGATCTCAAACTCACAACAATCCTCCTGCCTCAGCCTCCTGTGTGCTGGGATTACAAGCATGCACCACCATGCCCGGCTAGACGTGCCATTTTAAATCCAGGTTTATTAAGAAGTGTAAAGGAATAACGATTGAGGCCTGCAGCACTGGCAAGGTAGATCGCAGACAGGATGAGCACTGCCACCTGCCCCAGCAGGACAGGTAACCACAGTCCCACTGTCATTAAAGTACCAAGGCCAATAGCCAGATGGGGCCCACCTTCTTACTGTAGACACAGGCTGAGCCCTGGATCAGCAGTGCTGCTTCAATGAAGTTCATTGTAGTTTTGCCTTCGTCAAAAGAAATGCAGATCTGGTCCAGCTGCAAGAAATGACACAAGTGCAGGGAACGTCAAGGCCCAGCTTGTGCTTCCTCCTCCTAGGGAAGTCCCCCAGCGCACTGCTTTGCTCACAGCCCTCTCTTCCTGAGGCACCTCTTCCACCAGTGCATCTGTACACTCCAAGCCCAAGCTACCAACACATACCAGCAACTCCCAAACCCACCTCAGACCACCTTTTCCTCAAAGCGCTGGGACTGCATTCATCGTGCCCACTAAGGATCTCCATGAAGATCAAAGCACTTCCACAACTTTTTTTTCGTTAGATACTAGTTTCACAACCCAGGGCCTCAAACATGCTAGGCTCCATTACTGAGCGGCACCCCCAACCCCCCAATATTTTATCTCCATACTTAACTCAGAACCTTCCCCATGAAGCTGGATCCTCTCAGCAAGCAACACTTTGAAGTCCCCACATGTTTTTCTGAGCTCTTTGATCTGTCTGCCTGGTCCACCTGTCTCCAGCTGTCCCTGGTGAAACTCTTGCAGGGTCTCCCTTACTGCCTGGAGCCTCCTTGTTACACCATCAGTGTGTCTTGTTGGGTTATTTTATTTTTCTTTTCTTTTTTTGGAGACAGCGTCTTGCTATGACCTTCAGACTGACCTTCAACTCACTCTGTAACCCAGGCTGGCTTTGAATTCACGGCAATCCTCTTGGCTCAGCCTCCCACGTCCTGGGATTACAGGGGTGCAGAACCACACCTGGTTTGTTGCACTATTTTCAATCATAATGGACTGTGAGCAGTACTAGGGTAATTCCAACCTCTAGTTCAGTGCCTGAACTATTGCCCAGTAAATATCTGATAAACTAGTGAAATGATAACATCAAAGTTAAACCTGAGAAATGAATAAAGCTCACTAGGCAAGTGAAAGGAATGGTATTTTAGGAAGAGCAATGACCCACGCAAAGGGAATTAGCAGAGTAAGGATACAACTATGTACTTAGGAAAGTGAGTATTGCACAAACATGGCCAACTGTAGAGCGTGCTGGAGAAGCAAGATACACAGACAAGGAAGATCTAGGAGGAGGTCACCAAAAGGGGGGCTATTTCCACTAATTCAGGAGCTCTACGCTCTACAGAAATGTGAGGCTATAACGTGGCCAGAACCTGACAGCCTGGCCTGAAAGAAGAGAAGGTGCATGAAGCCCTGCAAGCCAGGCTGAAGAGGGCCCTTCCCTTTGACAAATCTCAGCCCAGCCCACTCAGCCGCTCCAGAACATCACGTTCACTCTCACAGCTTCAGGCTGGACCTCTGTCTAAGCCCAAACTCCTATGCCCAACCACCTTCTTCAGTCACTCAGATGTCATAACCAAGATTCACAATGAACAAGTCCACACTTAACTCTAGGCAGCCCCTAACCCACTGCCCAGAAACCCAGGGGTTTCCTTCACTAACCTTCCCATTCAGTACAGGCCCAGTCCCCTGCCAATGCCATGCTCCTCTCCAGTGACCACTACGGCCCAGCCCAAACTTGTGCACTAACAGCGTTCTTCCTGACCAGCGTTCTTCACCACCCAGTGCTTCACTGAGAAGCCTCACGGCACCACTCTTGGGAAAAAAACAAAGTCTGAAACAGCCCCTATGGGTGCCATCCACACTCACCAGTCTCCCTTTCTAGCCACCAGCTTTCCTCTGCTCCATCCACAGCAGCCACATGGGTGCTTCCAGGCCCACCACTGAGCCCAGTGCCTTCTCACCTCAGAACCTTCAGCACCTCTCTGCTCGGAACGTTCTTCAGCTCAAGGATGAGGCAACTCCTCCACCACAAACAAAGTCTCCCTGTCAAACTCTTCATACAGCGCTAAGCTTTTCTTTCATACCTACCGTAAGCTTATGACAACACAACACATGGTGGTGAAAAGTGGATCTGTTTTGCCCACCATCAGCTGTGACTCTGGGCACATCCCTAATCCTGCTAGTGCCTCTTCAAATAGTTTTTGTGCGGATTACAGGTACTTGTATGTGTAAAACACACAAGAAAAGTGCTTGGCCAAGTAAGCATCAGATGCATGAAATCTTCAACCCTATTTTTCTGCTGCATTAGGACTCATGTTTCTGAGAGTAAAGTCTCATCAAATCAGCTACCACAGAGTATACAGCAAGTTTGCTTTACTCACTTCTTTGTTTTTGGTTTTGTTCTGTTTTGTTTTTGAGACAGGGTCCCTATATGTAGTTCAGGCTGCCCTTGAACTAGTGGTGACTCTCTTGTCTCTGCCTCCTGAGTACTGTGTTTATAGCTGTGTAGCACAATGCCCCAGCCTGTTCTCAAGAGTTTAATTTGGTTCTTGGTACACAAGAGATATTCAGCAACAGAAAACACATACATGGAAAAAGAAGGTAAGATCCTAACATGTAGAGGCTGGGGATTTAGCTCAGTAGCACAGAGCCTGCCTGGCAAGCACAAGGTCGTGAGTTCAATTCCCAGAACCGGAAAAAAAAACAAAAAAGAAAAGATCCTAACATGTATTAGAAATAAAGAACATAATGGGCCACTGTTCTCGTTCTTTCAGTGATCACTCTCACTATGTGTACTGTACTCTTTTTCCAACTTTTACCTGGCCCACAGTCACTCTACAGTGCACATTTCTGTTCCCACTCTTAATGAATATAAAACACTGCTACCTTTAAAAGAAAAAAAACTTTCTGGGAATGAAAGGAGCACAAAGACAAAAGTAGCAGCCAGAACTCAGGACCTTAGGAGTAGGGAAGGAAGAGCAGTCATAGGAAGCAGATGGAGAAATAACCAAGCCAGGAAGTGGACTTTCCAGGTAACCTCAAGGACCCTGCTCCATCCAGGAACCTAAATCTACAGTAGCTCCACCCGGCACTGTTCTCTCCATTTTCTCAGCAGATTGTGCATCAAAGCAGAGACGATCCATCATCAGATCACGTGTCCACTTAACATTTACTCCACATCTGTTAAGGCACTCTACTAAGCAGAAGAAAAATAGCATATACATGGTCCCTGCCCTTGCAGAATTTACTTCCCAGGTTGAAGACAGGCCACAGACAAGTAAATAAGTGGAAGAAAGGCTGTGATAAGCATTTTAATTCTAAGTGCCACGGCAGAGTCTAGGGCTACTTCAGATAAGGCTGTCATTTAAACTAAGACGTAAGGATGAAAAGGACTTGGCCATAAAAAGAGTATCTCTTAGTGAGAGCAAAAAGTGTGAAGATTTTCAGCCAAAAATAATATCCGGGCGCCATAGGTTGACTGGTTCAAAAGAACAAGGTAGACAACCCTGAGACAGGCCAAAAACAGTGGAGAGGGCCAGACTCCTAAGAGAAAGCTTGGATTTTATTCTAGATTCAATGAAAAGCCAGTGAAGTTTTAGTGGGGGCAGTGCTTTCCCCTTTGTTGAGAGAGGGTCACACTTGGTACCCAGTGGAGCACAGATCGGATTGGGCCATAAAAGGGGGTAGGGACCACAGATGGGAAGGTCTGAAACAAATCCAGTCCTGGGCCAAACAAAATGGAGAACAGGGGAATTCATGTGATATTCCGGAAGTGTAATTTACAGAATTCATGGATGAACCCTGTGTGCTTTCAGCTCCATTACCAATGCCTCTCCACTTTCCCCTTTAGGTGAACAATGGTGCTACTTACTGAGATGAAGAAGATGGGGTCTGAGCAGACAGACAAAGAACTCCTCTGTAAATAAGTCAAATCTGAGATGCTCACATAACATGTCAGTGAATGTCAAGAGAGCACCTACATAATAAAACAACAGCTTTGATGGGGCTGGGGATTTAGCTCAGCGGCAAAAGCGCCTGCCTGGCAAGCGCAAGGTCGTGAGTTCGGTTCCTGGTACCAGAGAAAAACCAAAAAAAAAAAAAACAACAGCTTTGGAAAACAGACCTGGCTGGAACAGAGGAACGTATCTGAGAGTTTACACACAGGAGATTTTTAATTTTTTGTTTCGTTTTGTTTTGAGGCACTGTGTAGCCCACGCTGACCTGAAACTCCCAGCAATCCTACTGCCTCAGCCTCCCGAGTGCTGGAATTACAGGTGTGCCCCACCATGTCCTGCACAGAATTTACAATCACGGAAATAAGTGTGATTGTTTAAGGGAAAGAACGCTCCACCCTAAAAGTTCAAAACTTAGAACAGGAGAAAAAAGCAAGCAGTGAAACACGAAGAAAGTCACACTATCACTGTTTCAAAATGGAAAGAGTCCTCAACCAGATAAATGCTGCAAAGCTGAAGATGACATTTCCAGTGTCTCTTGGGATTTGATAAGATGGATGCACTACTGTTTAAGGCAAGAGATAAGTAAGTATTCACTAGTGAAAGCCAGACTGCGCTGGGTGGAGTGGAAATGAAGTCGGAAACAGCAGACAGCTTCTTCACACGTCTAGACACGTGTGAAACGTGGAAGAAATAAAATGCTAACAGGAACCAATATGGTCCTAGCTTGAAACCTGCCTGAAAATCCAAAACAGTCCTTCTTGCATTGCGATCCAGATCTCTCAAACACCCAAACTGCCACACAACAACGAAACGGAAATCGTGTGCCTTCGTCTATTCCGCTGTGCAGGTGACCTGGGCCGGCCCACCACGCCAGCCGCCGGCACAGCCCGCTAACAGGCAGGCTGCAATGACAGCTCCGGACGCATCGAGCAGGGGATGACTTCGAGGCAGGGCTGGAGTCAGCGAAGGGAGCGAGCCTGAAGACGAGCGCGGCCAGAGCCGGAGGCCACGCCCTGCCGCCCGCGCGCCACCCCGCCGCCTCACCTCCTCCAGGTACTCGCCCAGCTGGGCCGCCACGTCCACCTCCCAGTTCTTGGTGAGGTCGCGGATGGGCTGCAAGAGGTGAGCGAAGCGTGCCTCCACGTCCTCCATGTCAGGGAGGGGGCTGGCGGCCCCGGGCCTGCAGCGCTGGCCTCTGACAGCGCCCGCCGCGGCCTCAGCCCGCCACCGGTTCTGGCGCCATTTTGCTGTTCCCGCCCAGGAAGTGCGAAAGCCGAGCGCCGCCAGCGTTGCTTTGACGTACGCGGGCCTGAGGCGCGGGGCGGGCTGCGTCCTCCCGGGCAGGGCCGGCGGCTGCCGGAGGGGGCG